GCTGTGGGCTCTCCTGTGTGAGGATTGCAAGCGTGAGCATTACGGAGGAAACTGGGCCGTGGTTGGAGATAACCATCAACCATGTGAAATCACTACAAGCTAATGGAACAAGTTGTTCATGTTGTGACTCCCCTCCAAAATCTGATTTATGTGATTGTTGGTTCCACTGGTTGATACAGAGTTACAAATGAAATGTTAAAAGGACCATAAATGACTAAAATCATTATCCACTGTTTGCAATGTTCCAAAATGTGTCCCCTGCATTTCTTTTGACTTGGTAAAAACCAAGTTAACTGATGGGACACCTGAACATAACACCACTGTGAAGTGTACCAACTAACTGGGCAGCTGTAGCTACAACTGTAGCTGCCTCCACCAGTGTGTGAATGTGAGAGTGAATGAATAGTGGCATTGTAAAGCGCTTTGGGTGCCTTGAAAAGCGCTATAGGAATCCAATCCATTATTATTATTATTATAAAATGTAGTTTAAGATATGAAAAAGTTTTGTTTCTCAAAATGTGTTGTGTTTTGCAAAGAAATCCCCTATAAAGTAATGAAAAGGAGGGTTTTCACAGGACCCACCGCAGCATTTCAGTCATGTTTAGGCATAGACTTTGGCTCATTGCAACACTTTTGTTTCCATTCTTTTGTGCTTGGGATCACTGTCCTGTTGCATGGTCAATTGGAGATTAGGTATCGGAATTTCAGGAGCGGGACCACGCCTCCAAACATGCTCCTTCCAGTTCTCATCTATATAGGTTCTCCCAGTTCTACAAGCTGTTCATTCTCGTTTACGTGCCCCACCCTCCCTTACCTTTTCAATTCTTTAACTTCTTCACTTCTATTTAGTACATGGGGATCTGCCAGGCCCAGGAGCAGCAGCCAGTCCCCTTCGAGACTTTCCCCAAATTGCAGCTCAATTCATGTCCAAGCATTCACCTTTACATACTAAAATGCTGTCAAACTTAAAATCAGGACGTGGGTCCAGCTAGTGAAATAATGGGTTTTAGCTGTCGGACAGACGGCCTGACATTTGACTCTAGAATATTTTGTTGTACAGAGGAGTTCATGGTCGACTCAGTGACTGCAAGGTGCCCAGGCTCAGTAGTTGCAACACAAGCTAAAATCATCATCTTTCCACCAGGACTGTGATTTTTGTGCTGATAGCTGTGTTTGGGTTTTACCAAACGTGGCGCCATGCATTATGGTTTGCAGACCTGTAAACCTAAGCTGTTCAGGTCTGAAACTTTAACATTGAATGTACTAACTGAGGCATGTACAGTCTGAGATGTTGCTCTTGGGTTTGTTGCAGTCTCTCTGAGGATTGCACAGGCTGTCCTTGGTGTTAACTTGCTGGAACTGATCACAATGCTGGAAGATGGCATTGTGTTAACACACACACCTGAATGCTTCAGACCAGCAAACTGAAAAAACTTCTGCTTTTATAGACATGCTGACATTTACCCCCCCCCCCCCAAAAAAAAAAAATCAATCACAACACAGGATACATTGTTTCACCGCAGAGGACTTTGATGATTTTGATTAACCTCATGTGATGCATTTGATTAAAATTATAGTTTATTTCCATTTTTTCCTCATCAGCTCATCCTCTTTTGTGTCTTTTTAAATAAAAAATAGTGCTGCTGTGGTGTTTGTTGTAAACCTAAAAGAAGGTTGTTGTAAACCTAAAAGAAGAAGTTGGACATCAGCTGTGGCGGCCGAAGATGAAAAAATTCCTGACTGGAGCCACTTCAGATTGCTGGCCCGGTAAGATTGCACCTACCAGCTCGCAGCCTGGTGAGGGCTGCTTGCATAGTGGCTGGAATGAATCATCGGAGATAATGTGCCTCTTTGTTGAACACTTGGCACTCCTCGATTGCAGACCAAACATCTGACTGGAAGATGCTCAGACTGACATTTACACACAAAGAGTAAGAGCTAAACAAATTATTGATATGTTTTTGTAGCAGTGGTGAGAAGTGACTACTATCCAAAATCTGTAGGCATTTAAATCGTAACACATTGGGTTTGCAAAGCAGTGAGTCAGAGAAAGAATTGGTTTCCATTAAACTGTGTGCTGGGTTTATAAAGTCAAGACTGGTAGTGAAAAAAAAGAAGTGCAAGAACTAAGAGGTTGTTCCCTGGATATTAGCAGTGCATTATTCTTCAAATTACATAATGCGTATTAAAACAACTCATCCATCCCTAACCTCTGCTCCGATTTGTGTAACCTTCTTAACAGTAGTTATGATAAAAGAAAAAAAAGAGCGATAGGAAAGCCAACATGTTAGTAATCGCTCCTTGCTTTGTGCTTTGATGCAGAGAGTGACTTTGCAAAACCTTTTTGATGTAAAACATGGATGGAGTTGTACAATTCCCTAACACTTTCTCAGGAAATGCGCCAGAGTGGGACATGTATACATGGAATAAAAGTTATTTCACAATAACAAACCAATCAGTGCTTGTAACTAAACAGCTTCTATCCAAATGTGTACTGAATGAAGTCACCTTGCTGGAAATTACACCAAACCGCTCAACGTCAACAAATTAAAATGCTTGTGTGGCTCCAGCTAGAGAGAAGCAGAAGAAGAACCTTGTTGGAAAAATCTCCCCCCCGCCACCAAAAAATCTGCATGTTGTTCAGACGGTACTTCAAATAGACTGCTTCAGTAATTGCAGAGTAGAGCTGTTGAGCGCTGGGAGCACCTATATGTCACATTAATCCAGTATACTGTGGTTGGCAACCCGCCCCACCAGAGGAGGGATTAAAGCCAAAGAAGTGTTCACAGCACATGCTACCAATAAAGTAGTGCATCGAGTTTAGGTACCCACCAGTAACTCTCAGCTACTGCTGCATGTCAACACTGGTGTTTTGGCTTTTGCATGGCAGTCCACTCTGCAATGCATTTAAGTTCACCTAGAGCCAGGCGACTGGCACCGATTAATGTATTATATTCCTCGAGGCTGATCATGACTAATGCCAAATGAGTGGAACTGGCTTCCAGCAGCACTAAAGAAAAAAAAAATATCCCAAACTCCTGAATTCTTTGGACACTTTGAAGGAAGAAAACTACTTCCCCCCCCCTTTTTATCAGAGCTCAGAGCCAAGTCCTGCCAATCAGAGTTGTGCCATTAACTCTGTCCTTGTTTGTCCTTGAAGCCAAGCTCAAAACGTGGCACAGGCCAGTTAAATTGTTTTATGGTCTGTGTGAATGCAACATATGGACTGAGGTGCTTGAGGTACTTAAAACCATAGCTAGTGTTCTATAGGACGCATTGTTTAAAAAGCTTCAAGTTGGTCCGCCTCTTTCATCACATGAGGGAGATCCAAACAAACAAACTATAGTAACTGTATGTTTCCTCCAGTACCATTTCTCATTTACATTTGTTGACTGAAGTTATTCAGAGAGGGTTGTCAGTCCACCATAATTCAAAGCGTGAATTTGTCAGGCACAAGAGGCATTTTCTGGGCAGAACCGTTAAATGGGTGGATTGGGTGTTAATGAGGTTCGTGTTACTCACAGATAATTTACCCTTGGACTGTGCCCAGAAGGTTTTTTCAGGTTAGAGTGCACAGACACAGATGGAACTAGTTTGAGCACCACAGAAATGTTTGAAATGGATAGATTCAACACTCATCTTGAGATCAAAGTTGCGCTGCTAAGCCAATATTGATATTTGCTGGCTCCTTTACCTGCTATATATTTTTCATGAAAGTATCTCAAAATCTCCATAGAAATGCGCCTGGCACCAAAAAGACATGATGGATGTGCCATGAGCCAGAACGGATAAAGAAATTCTACAATCAGATGAAGACAGCTAGAAAAAGTGAGACTTTACATGGACAAAATATTTACTTTAGGACTCTAGCAGCATAGCCATAATGCACCTAAAAGTACACTTGGACACTGGGAGATAAGGAATATAAACAGCTGTAACTTTTAAGCAAATAAATACAACAACAAATGGACTACAGCATACTCAGTCCCAGATGCTTGACATGTTTTCCAGTTGGGGACTGAATAACTCAGAATCTCAGCCAAATCCCAGACTAAGAAGCAATCAAAGCAATGCAGGCAGAGGAGAGAAAGCAAACTCACTAGCTGAATGATAGTGGGAGGCAAACTCTCTCCCTTTCAGTCTGAAACTGATAAGTCTCAACGACAAACTGCACTTGAAACTAGCTCCTCGGTTCTGTACACACATGCTACAAGAGCTGCAGAAAGCTTTTAGAGTCACTCTCACATTCACTCTGTCCAACGCAGGAGTTCATCAGGAGTGAATCAGAAGTATGTGTTTTTTCCTGAGTAGAAAGAAGAGCCAGCTGGAGCCTCCTCTTACATTTTTTGGATTGGATCTGCAGCCATATAAACATAAGCACGCATATGGATAGGTGTGCACACAGGAGCCAGTTCAAGTGTTTGAAATGCACTAAAACACATGCATGTGAAGCGAGTTCGGAGACTTGAGGGCGTCTTGTTATGGTTTACTTTTAGATTGCACAATAATAATAATGATGCAATAGGGGAGTGCAATCATTAAGATAAATATGTGGCATTTAAAACTTAATATTTAAATGCATGGGACAGAAGTGTGAAGTCATAGACAGCATGTACGTGCACACTTTTTGCGAACATGAAACATAAAATAAGAACTCTTTCCTATATAGATTGTATTGTGGGAATTAATAAAAATCAAATGAGCAGCAGTCATCAATAAATTAGCAAACCAAGCATACTAAGCAATATAATGCAGAGCTCTTTTTAAATTAACATTTTTATTTTGCAAAAGTTTAACATCCGATGCAAACAATATCAATTTTAGTTATTATATAAAGCCTTTATATGTACTTCTTGCTGCCTTGTGGCTAATAAGCATCAGCAGACATTTTGATGACTGAGGATTTTAAGTTTAGGAACAAAACTTTTTTGCACCTGTTCTAAACCTTTGATTGATGCAGCAATAATTATGACTCCATTCACCTGCGGTTATGCACTTACCTCCTTGAAGAGAGGGTTGAATCAGTGCTAAGAGGAAGAGTCCACAGAAGAGCAACAGAATGTTTCTGTTAGCCATCTCGCTCCAAAATGCACCACCCCTCTCCCGATCAGCTGGTTTTATTCTCTTCTGGCTAATTACCACTAGCCCCGAAGTCTCAAAGAGTGATGAAAAAAAAAGAAGCAGGGGGAGGGTGAAAAAAGGGAAAAGCTCAACGTAATTATGAGAGGGCAAACACTCTGGTTCAGTGGATCACTTTGCTTTATTTCCTCGTCTATGTCTGGTGTTGCTGTTTTTATTCTGGTCACTCCTGCCAGCAGCACAGACGCTCCTGCCAGCAAGGAGAGGGAGAGAGAGAGAGCGAGAGACATACAGGCAGATACAGAGAGGGAGAGGGAGCAAGAAAGACCCCCATCCAGAAGGAATTGAATTGACTGCCAAGCATTTGCACGGATACAGAGCATACTTATTTGTTACAGACTGAGGAAGAGCAAACAACAAACCCAGATAATTACCTGCACTCTGTGGCTTTAATTTTCAGCTTGTTGCTTTTCAACACTTGCAGTGCCACGATCTTGCAACTCTTTTAACCAAGCAATCACAAAAACCTGAGGATAGAGGGTGAAAAGAAACACAGCAAGAGTCAGCATCTTTCCACCAAATATAAGAGCCACATATTAAAAACGTCCCTGGTTCAAAAAACAGCTGGGGAAACTGAAACATGCTGTGCCCGGCAACCCGCGATGCAAAAGGCAGGAATCGTCACTCAAAGATGACACCGTGTGAAGAAGTCAAGGATGATGTTTCTTAGGAGCTAATCGATGTCTCAGAAAGTTCATGAGGACCTCAGTCAATGTCAGGCTTCCGGGTTGATGTAATTGTGCTCCTTAAATAGTGAAGTTTTTATTTGTGCCCCTGATAACTTTGGTCGGTTTACATTTGATCAGCTGTTCAACCTAAATAAGTTGGTTGTCTTCTACGATCCTATTTTTAAACATTTTATTGCCTGAGCAAACCATCCCTGGATCAAATTCAGTTCAGTTTGGTTTGATCTATATAGACATACAATGACTGTCTCGCCACTCTCGCCATTTCATTTGAGCAAGCAAATGGCGAGAGTGGGAAGGAAAAACTCCCTTTTAACTGGAAGAAACTCTCAGGAAAGGGGATCCACCTGTTGGTTAGAGAGGATGGGGGGAAGACAGGAGAAAAGACACACTTTGGAAGAGAGCCCGAGATAAATAATAACTAATGATTAACTGCAAAGTGGTGTGTAAACGCATAGAAAAAGAAAAAGGAGAAGAAGAAATGTTCAGTGCATCATGAGAAGCCACCAGCAGCCTAGGCCTATTGCAGTGTAACTAAGGGAGGATACAGGGTCACCCAATCCAACACTAACTTGATCTTTTGTGAAAAAGGAAAAGGATCACCCTACACTCTACAAAAGGTCCAGAAGGCTGCTACAAGGCTTCTTATTAGCTCATGTGACAAAGTTTAAGGCTTAGTTCAAGATTTTGGTGATCACTTCCTGAACTCAGCATGGTGGCACCGTGGTTAGCACTGTTCTCTCACAGCAAAAAGGTTCTGGGTTTGAATCCACCATGTGACCAGCGCTTTTCTGTGAGGAGTTTGCATGTTTTCCCCATGTTTGTGTGGGTTCTCCCTGTTTACTAACCTTTCTCACATAGTTCAAAAACATGCAGTTAGTGTTGTTAGGTTAACTGGTGATTCTAAATTGCTCATAGGTGTGAGTGGTTATTTGATTCTCTGTTTTAGCCCCATGACCAACTGATGGCCTCTCCAGGGTGCACCCTGCCTCTCGCCCTATGGCAGTGGGGACAGGCTCCAGTCTCCCTGTGACCCTGAATTGGATAAGTAGAAGAAAATGGATTGATAGATGGACTCTCTGTACTCTTCACAGTCAATGTTCTGTGTCAGTGAGCTTTATAATCCTTATGTAACTTGCCAGACTTTGAGGTCTACTGACCAAAGTGTCCTCAGTCCAGGCTGAGAAATGGTGCTTTTGAGGTTGTGGCTCCAAGGTGTTGTAGAACTAACATTGGTTGATTTACACTGTTAATACATTTAAGAAGAAGTTTAAAACCACCTGTGAAAGCCTATCTCAGCTGTCTTAGGGCGAGAGGCAGGGTACACCCTGGACAGGTTGCCAGTCTGTCGTAGGGTTAACACATAGAGACAGACAACCATTTCCACTCACATTCACACCTACGGGCAATTTAGAGTTACCAATTAACCTAACCCCACTAACTGCATGTCTTTGGACAGTGACAGGAAGCCGAAGTACCTGGAGAGAACCCAGGCAAACACGGAGAGAACATGCAAGCTCCACACAGAAAGACCCCGGGCAGATGGTGGACTTGAACTCAGGACCTTCTTTTTTTTTTTTTTTTTTTTTTTTTGGCCTGTCCCGTTTGGCTCTTTTGCCATCAGAATTGTTGTCTAAAGGCAAAGAAAGATGCCCAACGGATTTACTTTACCAAACTGACCATCCCAGCCTTGCCGTAATGGTCCATTTGATTCACCTTTTATTGTTTATTTTATTTTCACTTACTGAATACGGGACAGACTTGACTGGGGGAAAGAAGGGGAGAAAGAAAGAGGGAAAGAGAAACAGCTGAGAAGAGGGACGGGGGAGAAGGGCAAAAAACAAAAACCAACAGAACGGGCAGAGAAAAAAAAATGCATATATCAATCACCTGGATCACCTGCTGAGAAAGAAAAAAGAAAGCAAGCAGAAGAGAACAAGAGTAATAGAATAAACAACATCACAATGATATATGGGAATATGACAGTAAATACTAAATGTTAAACATTATTGTGCAGCACATAAGATCAACAGAACACAGTGTGCTTTGAGGTAGGAGCCAAAAAGGGTGTAGTTTGTGGGTGTGATCACCCGTGTGTACACCTGTAAGCATGGACGCGCTTGTTTTTTGTTTTTTTAAAAGGTTCCTTCATGTAATAATCTGCTAGAGGGTGTGGGGGGGCCACAGCCCCGTCCTCCAGGGCGTGAAGCAGGTATGGAGGAGATCAAAACTCCAGACATCCAGAGGCTCCCAGAACACAAGAGACCAAGGAATACCAACAGAGGGGCAGCTGCGCCACTGTCCCGGAAAGAGCTGAGGAGAGTCCCAGATGAGGGCTCACTCAGCAGCCGCGGAGCAGAAGCCAGGGGGAGTTGCAGTGACGCGCCCGTGAGCTCCGCCGGCAGCCAGCTGCGCCTGAGTGACCGAGCCCCAGGCCGAGAGGCCGGGGGCACCCCGCCTCCGAAGTGGCCCAAGCGAGCCCCAGGCTCTAGGCCCCGATAAGCGGCCGCCAAGGAGTGAGCCGGTGTGTACCTGGACGCCCATCCCCGGACACAAAGAACCACCAACGCACCGATGTCTGAGGGGGTCCGCCACTGGCAGGGGAAGTGGTGGTAGGGGGAGATAGGCCTCCAAACCTTGGAGGGCCTGAGATGTCCCCAGAGAGGTGGCGCCTGACACCCAACCTGACATATAGACACAGACATACAGGCACACACAGATACAAACATCCATTCCCACCCTCATGCTCTCATATGCACTTACTCCACACTCAACCAACGTGGAGACAGACATAAAGAGACGTTGTACACACGATCACACTCCCCAAGCGTACTCTACAAACCGGGTCTAGGTGCCCCCGCCCCTGGAGGGGGGAACTGCACCCAGACCCAGGTGGTGTTTCCCTTTTCCCTGCGGTGGGGGGAGGCAGACCGCCCCGACTCCGCAGCAGCAGGAAGGCTCCACACTCCAGACCGCAGTCGGATGGCCAACTCCTCCTCCTAGTCCTAGCCCCCCTGCTCCAGCAGGTCGCAGAGAACGGGGGTGAGAGAAGACTCCGAACCTCCCTCCACCCGCTCATTGTAATGTTGATGCATGTGTGTTCTAAGGTGCATTTAAAACCCAGGAGGGCTTGGAGCTACCTGCCAGAGAGCAGCAGGTAAGCGCATGGTCCCTCCTGCTAGCCCTCAATGTCTACGTGTATTTAAAATTGAGAGGTGGGCAACGATGCCAGGGGTGAGGTGTACACCCTGATGGTACTTTGGACTCCGTGTATCGTGCCCACCCCCAAGATCCTATATGTATGTGTAATGAGAGTGTGAGTAATGTGAATGTCTAAGTTGTGGGATAAAATTGAGGCAGAGGCAGCCAGAAGGGACAGAGGGGGGGGTAGCCTCCTCTGCACCCTGGTGACATACCCCTACTCCAAGGCCCTGCATGTGTGGGTGGTTGTGGTGGAGCGGGAAGAGGGAGGCAGCTGGAGATGGGGAGGGAAGGAAGGGAGGGGCAAGTGACCCCTCCCTGGGGCCAGCTCCCCCGCTGACCCCAGTAGGCACCCCATACTCCGCGACCCGCCAGGGAAAGGGGCCCAGGCCCATCCAGACCGGGCCCAGTGCAGCAGCGCCGCCCGGCCCCACAGAGCCCGGGACAGTCCACCCAACCCCACCACAGAGAAAACTGCACCCACCCCACCATCCACTCATCTTCCAGACTACATAAGACAATAAACACCCAGGCTGAGATCTTCCTCCACCTCTCCTGTATCTCCCCCTCCTGCAGAGGCAGCTCCTGAGGAGAGGAAAGCTCCTGCAAGATGTGACAATCTCCCCCACCAGTTGAAGAGCCCCCCAGGTGGCTTGACGCACCGGCGGCACCCTGCTCCAGGGCTGGGCCCCCATGCACCCACCCGCCCACAACCCCGGCAACACACCAACCAGGACCCAAGCCCCCGAGGCCCGGTCCGGGTCCCAGCCCAGAGACGGAGCGCCCCCAGAACCTCACGCCCATCCCGGACCCACCCAGGGGCAGCCAGGCTACCAGGTCAGTAACCCACGTCCGTCAGCACAGACCCTCCCCTAGCCCCGCTGCATACAGCCGCGAGGAAACAGTCACCGGAGAGCCAACAGAGCCCCTAACCGGACATGACCGCTACCCCGGGTTGAGCCCCCAAGGAAGATGCCTCCGGGGAACCCCCCGACGCCCTAAGCCTGTCCCTACCCCCACACCAATCACAACAGTGAAGGCGGGACCAAACTATGACCCCCACCCCCAGTAGGTGATGGAGCTGATCAAAGGAGCCCAGAGCAATTGATCTGATGTGGTGGCAGAGGCTGTATCAAGACTAATGTAATCTAATAGATAATTTCTATATTGGTTAGAATTAAGATTATTTTTATTTTTCCAGTTCATGAGGAGTTTTTTTGGCTATGCATAGGGCAGTGAAAACCATATGGGCGATATTCTTTTCTGA